CCAAGCAATAAGAAATCCATCACTGAATTTAATACACTGTGCCCTATATAAAGTGAACACATGGGACACAAGTGGGAACTCTGCTGCGACCACATAATAATGAAAATCAAAAACTGGTGGCTTATTTTCATGCTGCACTTAAGTTGGAAATATATATATATGTATGTATTTTTCCCCCTAAGTCTGATGACTTTATGAGATTTCTATGAGAAACCTGAAATATCTTAAGCCAGCTGCTTGAAGTTCATAAAGTCCAGAACCATTTCATTTCAAAAAATAATTTACATGTATGTCCAAATTTTTCCTTAGTGCTTTTTCTCCAGTGCCCTCTAATGGACATAAGATGAAAAGGCAAAGAAAAAATACACCCACAAACTATTCCAAAACCTTACAGTACATGTGAAATCTGCTAAAAGTAGATTTTGTGTGTTCTCCACACACACACACATACCACACACGCACACACCACACACACACATATACAGTGTTACCTATAAGAAATGGTGAAGGTGTTAACTTGACCATGGAAAGCATTTCACAATGTATACATATATTAAATCATCACATTATACACCTAAAAAGAATCACATTATCCAACCTAAGAATATAAAATTTTGTCAATCATATCTCAATGAAGTTCGAAAAAAATTATCCCACAAATCTTCATCCACTACAAAGCAAGCTGTAAATGTGCTCAGTTGCTCAGTCATATATAACTCTTTGCAGCCCCATGGACTGTAGCCCACCAGGTTCCTCTGTCCATGGGATTTCCTAGGCAAGAATACTGGAGTGGGGGTTGCCACTTCCTACTCCAGGGGATCTTCCTGACCCAGGAATCGAACCTGCATCTCTTGCATCTCTTGCATTGGCAGGTGCATTCTTTATCACTAGCGCCACCTGGGAAGCCCTAAAGCTATAAATATCTGCTCTTAACTTGGCAGATCCAGAAATCTACCTAAATCAGGCATCTCACACACTGAAATTTATCCTATTTTAAGACAATTTCACTGTAAAAATTACTCAGATTTTTATTAAGTCATAAAATTATACATTTGCTTTGACCCAGTAACTCAACTCAGGGAAAATGTAAACAAAGAAAATATCAATACTTCATTCTAAGTAAAAAAGGTCTCAGACCAGTGCTATTTACAACAGCAGAAAAGCTAAAACAGACTAAATGACCAACTCCAGCAGAATGCCTAAGCAAATGTAAAATGTCTAAGCATATTTACTTCTCATTTCAATCTGTCAGGCTTTCGGAGATTATAATGCATTTGCACACACAGGTTCTCACCTCACTCAGTGCTGTGAGGAGGGCAGAGGTGAAGGTCCACGTTTCTCAGACAAGGGGATTAAGGCCAGAGAAGATTAAGCATTGCCCTTAAGGCACCAAGTTACAAACCAGCTGGCCCAGAACCTAGACCTACATCTCACACACTTGTCATTCTTAATAACTTCTCTGCAGGGCTTCTAAAGGCTTTCTGGGTGGCTCAGTGGTGAAGAATCCACCTGCGATGCAGGTTCCGTACCTGGGTCAGGAAGATTCCCCTGGAGGAGAGCAAGGCAACCCACTCCAGTATTCTTGCTTGGAGAATCCCATGAACAGAGGAGTCTGGAGGGCTACAGTCCATAGGGTCACACAGAGTTGGACACAACTGAAGCAACTTAGCATGCACACATGCAGGGTTTCTAAAATACAAAAGCTACTAAAACTGACAGCAGCAATACCAACACACAGAAGTATCAGGAAGAAAGGAACAAAATGCTACAACAGGAACAATCGCAATTTTAAATCTGGAAAATAATTTCACTGTAGTTTAGAGTCTTACACACAGTATTTTGGGGTTATGAACTTTACCAAAGAAGCCAAATAAGACAATATAAGCATGGGCAGAGGATACTGTTTAATAAAGAATTTTGCCTTGGGACCTCCTTGGCTGCCCAGCGGTTAAGACTTCACCTTCCAACGCAGGGGATGCAGTCTGATCCCTGGTTGGGGAGCAAAGATCTCATATCCCTTGCAGCCGAAAACCCAAAACATAAAACAGAAGCAATACAGTAACAAATTCAATAAAGATTTTTTAAATGGTCCACATCAGAAAGAAAAAAAGGGTCTTCCCCAGAAGTCCAGTGGTTAAGAATCTGCCTGCCAATGCAGGGGACATGTGTTCAATCCCTGCTCGTAGGAGATCCCATGGTATAACTAAGCCCATTAACCACAACTACTGAGCCAGCATCAACAGCTCTTGAGCCACGACTACTGAACCCACACAGCCTAGAGCCTGTGCTCTGCAAAAAGAGAAGCCCCCACAATGAGAAGCACATGCACCACAACCAAGAGTAGCCCTGATCGGAATGCTTCCCAGAATACTGTGTGTCTCCTCCTTCAGCTGACTATTCTGCCCATGACTATTCTGCAGCCATGAACTGCAATGGTGAGGATGAGCGCTTTCAGTGAGTCCTGTGAGTCTTTCTAACAAATGATCAAATCTAATTTAGGGCAGGTCCTAAAAACCACCCCCCACCACCAAAGCTGCAGTGGTGTCAGAAGTGAAACCAGTCTCGGGAACTACGCCCTCAGACTTTGTAAGCTGTCTAACACCAGGGAGACAGAAAGAGACGCTTCACGGGAGAAAAAAAAAACACAATGGATTTAACTCAAAATTAAAGAAATGCAAACTACTACTTTTTTAAGGTTATGGTTTTTCACCTTTCAGGTGCCAAGATTTAAAAGACTGAGAATATCTGGGGGTTGGCAAGGGTTCAGAGAAACAAGCATTCTCGTGTCTCTCTTACACTGTGAGAAGAAATTAAAACATTTTCAACTTCTCAGGGCCATTTTGAAATATTACCAAAATGATAAAATTCTCTTCGATCCAGAAATTTTTACAAAGTTAATTTTACAGATTGAGTAAATTTACTCAAGATAAATTTATATCAGCCACGAAAAATATAAGAGCAAGAGGGTTCATTAGCGGGAGTTCCCTGGTGGCCTAGTGGTTAGAATTCAGCGCAGACACTGCTGTGGACCAGGTTCAATCCCTGGTTGGGGAACTCCCATGAGCTGCATGGCATGGCCAAAAAGAAGGGCTTCCCCGGGGGTGCAGATGGTAAAGAATCGGGGTGGCGGGGAGGGGGAAGCACCATTCAGGGCTTAAAAACATGTTTTAAAAAAAAGTGTTCATCATAGAAATTAGAAAACACCTAAATGTTAATCAACAAGAGTCAACTAACAATGGGACATACTGTGGACTGCTACAGAGGCATTAAAATTAATTAGGCAGATTTCACTCACAAGGCTTTGGAAAGAAAGCTGTCACATAAAACAGAAAAAAGCAGTCTGCAGACTTGGAGTACAAAATGATTCCATCTGCATAGCCTGAAACATGAAGTTATACCAAAATGCAGGTGTGTTTGTAAAGGCAGTAAAATAAATACCTAGAAGAATAGTGCCAAAGTGTAAATTGCGGTTACCTGTGGGTTTAGAAAGAAAAAGGACAGACGGTTGTATTCTGTGAATTTTTTGAACATATGTAAACAGAGTATTAAAGGAAGCACCAAAGAGAGGGTCAGATCAAGTTATAAATGTTTAAAGGAAATATCTGAGAACCAGTTTAACAACTTTTTGGGGGGGCCACACTGTGTAGCATGCAGGATCTAAGTTCCTCGACCAGGGACTGAACCTGTGCCCCTTTGCAATAGAAGCTTGGGATCTTAACCACTGGACCACCAGGGAAGTCCTCAGTTTAACAACCTTAAGAGTGCTTCCCTCACGTCAAGGATATGAACAGGTAGAGAGTATGGAGATAAGGAGAGCAGATTCTTGAGGAATTCTTCAGAGAACGTCAGTAAGGTATTTTGAGCTCCATCTGCCTCAGATGAAGAGATGTTTGGGGGTGTCGGAGGATGCTTCTCACCTCAAGCCCCAGGAAAGAGGCTCCAGGAGGGTTCCTCAGAGAAGCTACAATGTGTCCCCTGCACTCAGACTGGCGAATCACCCCTGCCCAGGATATCCAAAAAACCCGACTGGTGGCTTAGCGAGTGAGCACTGCTGCTGGGGAGCAACTGATCTGTGCCCCCAGAAGAAGGAACTCAGGAGCACCCCCTTGGGAGGGGGAGAGGGGATGGGCCAGATCTCAGATCCTGACCCACTGGGCAACCAGAGAGGAGAACAGACCAAAGACCTCAAGAGAGGAAACCAGCGGCTCAGAGGAAGGAGCGCACATCAGAGGCACATCTCCCAGTGTACTCAGCGCTCAGCACAAGGGCCAGGCTGGGAGACAGCACAGGACAATGTCTCCAAAGGCACGCTGAACATGCCCGCAGGGAGAGAGGCAAGCCTAACCTCCGAAGAGGAGAGAGCACAAAGTCTGGGACTGATGTGTATACACTGCCATGTATAAAACGGGGGGGCTTCCCAGGTCGTGCCAGTGGTAAAGAACCCGCCTGCCCATGCAGGAGACTAAGAGACGTGGGTTCAATCCCTAGGTTGGGACGATCCCCCGAAGGAGGGCATAGCAACCCACTCCAGTTTTCCTGCCTGGAGAATCCCATGGACAGAGGAGCCTGGCGGGCTACAGTCCATGGGGCCACACAGAGTCAGACACGACTGAAGTGACTCAGCACAACAGCACATGTATAAAATAGACGACTAATGAGAGCCTGCTGGACAACACACAGAGCTCTACTTGGTGCTCTGCGGTGACCTAAGTGGGGAGGAAATCCAAAAGAGAGGAGATATATGTACACGTGTGGCCAATTCACCTTGCTATACGGTAGAAACTGACACAGCAGAGTGAAGCAGCAATACTCCAATTTTTTAAAAAAAAGGTTTTCACAAAGCTCATGTTACAACAGCAAAAAAAAAAAAGTATAAAACTGGCAAAATAGGAGGAAAAGAAACAAAACTGTCCAATTATGAGCTCAGATGGACCAAGAGATGATGCTAGCTGTCAACCAACTGTAGGATCCCAGCTCACCATTTCCCAAAATTATGGTACCTTTTCTTTCGTCACATGACCCATAATCCTGCCGAGGTCTTCAACATCAACGACCGAATTTCGGCTCTGACGGTCCTCAGCATCAGACTCTTCCTCACTGCTGCTCTCAAAGGGCTCTTCCTCCTGGAACATCAATTGTAAAAAGTAGCAAAGTGTCTAATCATCCTTCCCAAATTGTGAATTCACTGGATGGACTTGAGATATTTTAGGCTAGAGGCCAGCCAGTTCCAAGTCAAATCTAAAGAAGCCCATCACTTACACATCATCAAGGGTTACTTTAAGAATATGGCAGAACTGATGCTGCAACAGGAACAGTATGGCCCAAAAAGCCGGAAATATTTACCAGCTGGCCCGTTACCAAAAATGTTTCCTGACCCTTGATTTAAACAAAGAAGCAACCAGACTTCAGTGAGGAATTAAATGAGGAAAAGGGAGGAATCGAGAATGGCTCTTTGGTTCCTTTTCCTAAGTAACGGAGATGGTGGTGGTGTTTCCTAAGATGAAAAAAACTTGCAGAGAGACAGACCGGAAGAGTAGAGAGGAAGAGTTCCATTTTGAATTTGTCAAAGAGGAGCTACCTTAGACATCCAAGGAGGGATTTTAAAGAGGCAACTGCATACATGGAACGACAGGAACAAGGGTGGAGAGAAAGACAGGAAGTGAGAATGCAAAGTTGTTCCCGAAAGACACAAGCGACCAGATGGCCCAAAGGCAACAGCAGTGATACAGCCTGACGACACACGCCTCAAAGGAACTGGGGTGCCCGAAGGAAGAAGAAAGAGACATGTTTAGAACGTGAGGGATCAAAGAGAGGAACCTGGGATGACTCGCAGCCTTCGAGTTTGAATGAGCGGAGTCATTAAATAAGAAGACAACGGGAGGAGTACGTGGTTAAAGGGTAAAAAGATAATGAGCTCAGCTCTGGGCACGTTTAACTTCTCCAGGACTGCTTCCTCACTTGCACACTTGGGTAGAAACCTACTGGACTCTAGCAAGGCAACAACTAGGGAACACGTTAAGGACAGCACGCAGCCCAACACGGCTTAACCCAAGCCCCGCTCCCTCTAGAACACACCCCATGTGAGTTTCAGCTCTTCCTTCCAACCGAAAGCCAAGAAAAGCATTTCTCAGGACAGAGGAAAAGTTCAGCATCTCCAAATTCAAGAGGGAAACAGGGAGGCGGGGGCCCGAGGGCTCCATACCTCGGCGTCTCTGTGCTGCAACTCCTCCTGCGCGTGGGACCCTGGCTCCGCCGCCTCCGAGCCGCGCTGGCTGGACTCGCACTTGCCTTTCTTGCAGCTGCCCCTGCAGCGCCTTCCCTCTCCTTTGCGGAGCGCCTGCAGCCGGGAGATGAACTTGGCCTTCCAAGCGGTGAAGTCGGCCTCAATGCTGCCGTGTTTGCTCTTCACCACGTTGCCGTCGCCCTCCCCTCGGGTCATCACGCGACGAGCACCGAGCATCCAGAGCCACTTGTCCACGTTCTTCCCCACCTGCGGGAGAAAGGGACAGGTGAGCGAGAACAGCCCTCCGGACCAGAAGATGCCAGTCTGCGCTGGGGAGCTGTCCCCGGTGGCTGCTGGGAAGACGGAATCGCTCCGTCGAAAGGGCTTCAGGGTACAGATGTAGAAAGCATCGGGACACAGTGGGGGAAGGAGAGAGGGGTGAACTGAGAGAGCAGCACTGGCATACACACACTACCATGTGAAAAACAGATAGTCAGCGGGAAGCTGCTGTGCAGCAGAGGGAACTCAGCTCGGAGCTCTGTGATGACCGGGAGCGGTAGGATGAAGGGTGGGAGTGCGGCGCAAGAGGGGGGATACATACACACACACAGCTGATTCACACCGTGGTATGGCAGGAATTAAAACAACACTGTAAAGCAATTATATTCCAATCTAAAAAAATGTTGAACAGGAGGAAATAAAAGGGGCCAGGTGCCCTCCAGCTCCATCCATCCAGGGGTGCAGTGGATATATTCAGATAAGATTCTGCAGAAGTTTGTTTTTTTTTTAAATAAAGGGGTGGACAAACTCTTTTCTTAAACTAGGAGCTAGTACCTAAAGAAGAACTTGAAAACGAATCCTCTAAGTAATGGTCAGAATGGAACCACTCGGTAGCAAAATCAGTTTCTTCCAAAATGTAATAACGCCTCTGGGGCCAAAGACCATGAAACAGCAAGTTACAAAGGGAACCCATCTGGCAAGACTCATGACTTCGTAGCCAGAAATGTGTTTTATTATAGTAGGAAGCACTTCAGCTGAGGCACAGGAGTTATCAAGAAGCAGTGAAGAGTTCAAAACCTCAACAGGCTTCCTGAGTGGCAAGGCAGTAAACAAAATACTTACGTATCTGAATTTTTCCTTTGGCCTAATTCCTTCAAAAATATGGAGGCAGGGGCAAGTGGAGAACACACATCTTGAAAAGATGTCTGGATGAAAATGTACCTACCTTGTTGAAGTGGCTCACGTACACAGAATTTCCCAGGCCAAACACTGCGTATCTCATCCCCTTCAGGTACGTTTTGCCAAATCGAAAGTCATTGGCTGCTTCCTCCAGCCACTTGCAGAACCACTCGGCGCTCTCAGGCGGCTGACCGTCAGTGTAGGTGGCAACCAGGAAGGCACAGACATTTTTACTGGTAACCTAACCAAGAAAAGTCGTTATTTCAGAAGAGTGGCCAAGACATAAGCTATCTCAATCAAGAAAATCCTTTCTGAAATGCTGATATTCACATCGCAGTAGCCTCTAAGGGTGCTTTTAGAAATGTTACTTATTTTCAGAGGAGGAAGAAACACAGCCAGGGGAGAAAACCCAGCCCTCCGTTCCTGCCAACACACCTCCTGGTGCCCTTCACCATACACTCCATCCCATTTCCCACACTATAAATTCCTATCAGCTCCCATCTGTCATATTAGAAACTAAAGCCAAATCAATCAGGAAGAAATATAGAAAGAGCTCTAAAAAATTCCCTGAAAAATTAAAACAATAAAACGTTAAGTGTAAAGTGACTTAACACTTGGCATCAACATCTCCTTGGGAAACAAAAAACCACATCAACAGTCCTATGAGCCATAGAATTTCATCTGCTTGAGTATATCTTCGCAGATCCAAGTCAGGAACTAAGTTACAAGTTGTTGCTGTTGTTTAGTCGCTAAGTCATGTCTGACTCTGAGACCCCCCCCAGACTGCAGCACACCAGGCTTCCCTGTCCTTCACTATCTCCTGGAGTTTGCTCAAACTCCTGTCCATTGAGTCAGTGATGCCACCCTACCACCTTATCCTCTGTCACCCCTAAGTAACCCTTTACGATAATTAAGTATCCAAGCTTGTTAACAATTTTTTAAATTTATGTATTTGGCCACGTTGGGTCTTAGTTGCAGCACTCAGGATCTTGAGCTGTGGCTCACGGACCCTCTATTAGTGGTGCTTGGGCTCCAGAGCATATGGGCTCAGTTCCCAGCACGTGGGATCCGAGTTCCCCACCAGGGATCAAACTCACATCCCCTGCATTGCAAGGTGGATTCTTAACTAGTGGGCCACCAAGAAAGTCCTGCTAATAATTTTTTAACAAATAATTTCTAGCAGATTCAAGCTCACTCACTTGCATTCCAATGTGCTCTTGGGGGAAAAGGAAATGGACATGTACAGCCAAGAGTTTCTCCACTAAGAAAGGACTAGCAAACTACAGCCCAGAGGCCCAATCCTGCTTGCTGCCTGCTTTTGTAAACAAAATTTTACTGGAACAGTGTCACACTCACCCGTTTGCATACTGTCTCTGGCTGCTTTGTCTCAAAGGCAGAACTCCATAGCTGCCTGGCCCAGAAAGCTCAACATGTTTACCATGTGGCCCTTTATAGAAAAGGTTTGTGGACGCCTGTTCCAAGGGCTTCTCCAGCTTGAGCTGCTCCAGAATCACCTGGGGCACTTGTTCAAACACAGCCCCACCATGTCCAGACTCTGCTTCGGGTGGGGGGGGTGGGCCAGGACCTGAGATTCTGCAATCCTGATGAGTCCCCAGGAGAGGCTGATACTGCCAGTTCAAGGACCACACCTGGACAACCTCTGCTGTCGGGCCAACCTCCCTACCTGGGCGTGGCTGGAGGAGGGGGCGGGGCATTCCTCAGGTGAAGAAATTAAGCTCTCACAGATACGATGGAATGCATGGAGGTCACAAAGGCAGTATGAGATTTCTCTAACTCCAAAACCCACACTACTTCTGTTATCCAAGTGGCCCCAACCTTTCAGTAGGCTGACATGTGGTTCACACACCCGGCACCCGGCCGTGAGTGACAAACCTCCTTGATTATGAGATTCAAAGCACAAGCTCTCAGTCTAACACCCCAGAGGGACCAGCCCCAACCACTTCCGAGTCAGCACCCTCACTACACACTCGGCCCCTCTCACCGACCCTGAAAAGTCAAGCAGTGGAAATCCCTTAGCGTGAAAATTAAATTTTATCTGAAGAGTCTATTTATCCCAGAACACAGGCGGTCAATTAAAATTGAAAGCTGTGACCAAAGGAAAAATAAGACAATTACCAACCTCTTCTGCGAGATGGTCATCTGGGTCATAGTCCTTCAGATTAATCATTGCCACAGGCAGATCAAGGGAGCTAAGTGCTTCAGCCAGAATTGTCGCAAATCCCTAATAGGAGGGGGAAAAAAAATCAAATCTAGTCTCCAATAAACTAAATAAGCGAAAAATACAGTCTTCATTTACTCCTGTTGGCCAGGGAAAGAGACGTTTATCAGGAAAAACTTTCCTGGTGACTGACAGTCATCATCATAAACACAAATACTATTCTCACTTCTACTGTTTTCTCGAGCATCTTTACAGAGATCAATCATTCAACTGTGCTGTTCTCGCTCTACAAGTACACAGGTGGGATTTGATCTCAATTGGCTTTCCGACATTCAGGCTGCTTTGCCCTTCTACAATAAACATATAGATGGAGAGGAAATACTAAAGAGGCGATAGAATGAGAAATGCGAGAACTGTGAACACAATTCTGGAAGGGAGAAACCAAACAGAAGTAGATTGACAGGCAGGAGGAAGCCTCAGGGGAAACAGAAAACCAGAGGGGCTCTGGGATCTGTCAGTCACTATGACAAAAGTGGGAGGGAGAAATGGGCCACAAAGGAACCAGTCAGCAGAGAACCTATATATAGGACCAGTGAACCCAGAGCTATTGTGTGCGTTCACCTTTTACCTACAGGCAGACTCCGGCAAACCTTCTCCAAACAAAATGAACCAACGTTTGGAGAAGACTACAACTTCTAGCCAGATGTTGGCACCCCAGGAAAAACCTCCTCCTCTTTTTGCTTGGTAGTCTAATACTTGGCTCACCACCTGCAGGGACTAAAGCTAAGCCTGCTCTACAGGGATCAGCAGACTAAGGCCTGCAGGCAAAACCCAGCCCTCTGTCTTTACAAGTGAAGGTTACTGGAATACCTGTTGCTCAGATGGTAAAGAATCTGCCTGCGATGTGGGAGACCCAGGTTCAATCCCTGAGTCGGGAAGATCCCCTGGAGAAGGGGATGGCAGCCCACTCCAGTATTCTTCCCTGGAGAATCCCGTGGACAGAGGAGCCTAGCGGGTTGCAGTCCATGGGATCTCAAAGAGTTGGACACGACTGAGTGATGAACACTACTGCAATACAGTCATGCTCATTTATTTACAAATTAGCTATGGCCTCTTCCACAGGGCATCAGCAGAACCGAACAGCTTCAGCAAAGACCACACGGTCTGTAAAACCTAAAAATCTAAAAAATTACATGCCAAGTAAAATATCTAGCCCTTTATAGAAAAACTCTGATAAACAGAACTGAAAGCTCTAGATAACATGATCCCTTGAGAGGGAAGTGAGTGCAGATAAAGACACGGTCTGAAGAACTGTACCCTAAGATGCTCCTATCTTTGTAGGGCAAGAAGATGGGTAGAAATCGGCCAATGATAGTGAGGAAGGTGAGCCTCGGCATAGGAGGAGGAGAACCTAGAGACAAGTGTCCCAAAGTTCAATGAACAAAGTATGTCAATAAGGAAGGCATTGTCGTGCAGCTAACACATCAAGGAAGATGAAGACTGAGGATGAATTAGCCATGTGCAAGTCACTGGGAACAGGCTGGGGCACGCAAGCCTACCTGGAGTGGGTCAAGAAAAACAGGAGAAGAAAAACCAGAGATGGCAAGCATAGACAACACTTTCAAGGAATATTACACACACACACACAAAATCAAGGTGGTAGTTAGAGGAGGATGTGAGGCCAACAGGCAACAGGTCACACGGCATACCCTGACCCACCTCGCACAGAGCATCCAGCAAGAACTTACAACTGGAGAAAACAAATCTACTTGGAGTTGAGAAAATCCACACCAGTTACCCCATCGTTTCACCCCCAATATGAACAGAAAACCACGGATCACCAAGACCATGATGAGAACAAGCAGCAGGAAAGAGAAATATCAGCAGCAGAAAGTCTGAGGAAGTGGCTAAATCACAGAACCCACAAAGGAACTCACTGAAATGTATTTTTAAATTATGAAACAGATGCTATAAAAATTGCACAGGATGTAATTTTTACAATAAAAACACAATAACCAAACTAAGACATTTTTAAAAAAAAAGGTTTGGGGGACTTCTCTGGTGGCCCAGTGGCTAAGACTCCACACTCCCAACGCAGGGAACCCGGATTTAATCTCTAATCAGAGCACTAGACCCCACATGCCCAAATGAAGATCCTGCATACCTCATCTAAGACCCAGCTCAGCCAAATAAATAAATAAATAAAATTTTTAAAGGTTTGGAGTTGAAATTCAAGAAAAAGTATGAGAGAAAGGATTTGAAATGCAGCATGCATGCATGCTAAGATGCTTTAGTCATGTCCAACTCTCTGCAACCCTATGGACTGTAGCCTGCCCGGCTCCTCTGTCCAAGGGATTCTCCAGACAAGAATACTGGAGTGGGTTGCCATGCTCTCCTCCAGGGGATCTTCCCAACCCAGGGATCGAACCCACGACTCTTACATCTCCTGCACTGGGAGGCGGGTTCTTTACCACTGTGACTCCCTTGAAACACAGGCCATCCAAAAGGTCCAACATTCAACAGAGTCCCAGAATAAAGAACAGAGAAAACAGAAAGGAAAAAAAAGTTGACCCAAGAAATATTAGCAGAATTAATGCACACAAAATCTCCAAAACAAAGCAGCACAACTATTCAACACTATGTCTGAAAAAGACCCGCCCTAGACCCCGTCTCACACAAGCTCCAAACATCAAGGACAAACAAATGATTCTAAAAGTTTCCAGGAACAACCAAAAAAAAAAAAAAAAAAAATTCATCTATGAAGGAATGAGGCAACCAGCCTCCTCTTCAGCAACGCTGCCTGCTAAAGACAAGGAAGTGATACTATCAAAGTTGGAAGGAAAAACTTTTGACCGAATCTACTATACTCAGCCAAATATGAATCAACCAAATTCAAAGACAGAGAAATTCAGATAGCACACCTTTAAGGAAGGCCACTGAACTCATATCAACTATGTGGGCAACAACATTAGGGCGCTGAGATCTGAGGAACTGATTGATTAAAGGAGTCAATAACTTTTATCTAATTGGAATAAATCTAGAAACGTGGCCCAGCAGGTTCAAGAAGTAACCCTCAGAGGAACTAAAAACATAAAATAGTTAAAACAGATTCTCTGAAGTGTACTTTCATTATGAACCCTCTGTACGCATGGATTTGTTACTATCTGCAAGTATTACCTGGATCTTTTTTTTTTTAATGTAAAAGCAAGCATAGAAGAGGCTAGGAATGAGCTCTTTTATGAGACACAAAAAAGGGACTCTGTTTTGGCAGCCCAGATGCCTTTCTTACATTTCTTCCTGTTTCACTCTCTGTTGTTTACAGTTGAACTGAATTAATAGTGACCTTCAATTAGGATCTACAGCACAAAGTACTGAGAACTTTTTTAAAAGTAATATTCTACAAAACATACACAAGAGGGCAGTAAAACTCTATAATTACCAAAACAGCAACTTGAAATTTTCAATTTATTTTCATGTTAGCCTAGATTCTTTTCCTAGAAAGCAATAAATAGCTGTGACTTTCATAACAAAAAAAGCAGGCAGCATTCAGATACAACGAAAGCGTCTTTCAGCTCTATATCTGCATTTTCTATCTACACAGTATTCAATGTACGTCATTAATACTTTTAACACTGTTAGAAATCAAAACAGATTTTAATTAAATAGATGTGTGAAGTTGTGAACATCAGGGCCCATACTGGACACTACCGCTGCCAGTTCTCACTAGTCTCTACTTCTACAGCCGATAATGAACTTGGAACTCCAAGTCTCCATTCTGCTGAGCAGAAGCAAGTTTCAGAACAAAGACCCTGCAAGACAGTGGCCACCAGACACTAAAGAACACTTTCCAGAGATTATCTTAGAAGATTATGAAACCCAAGGAAAAGTGTCATATAAAGTTCTTACCTTTGCTGTGCCAGTCTGAGAACCATAAAATATCTTCACTCCAGACACAAAGACTTCCTTCTTTGGAAGAGAGATATAGCCATTCGTCATCAAATCCTGAGATGCTCTTGGAACGGTTTTCTCCTGTGAGTTCTTGTTCTTGAAATAAACACAAAATCCATCAAGTTTCAATCTTCTCCCAACTTTATTAGGGATGAACATTAGCTCAGATACTGACCCATTTTATTCTCTTAATCTTTTGATTGTACTCCTCAAAAACTGACTCCTTGATATAATTAGGTTCTTTAAAACCAGGGACCACATTTCTTAAGACTATAATGATTCCCATTCCCTCCAGGATAAAATATTACACATACTTTCACCTATGATGTGTTTTAGTGGAGTAATAGTACAAATTTATTTTCTGATTCTAATTAGTGGAAAGAAAAGAGACTACTATCCCTTAAAGGTGCTGAGCAGATTTTTGGTATTTGCAAAATTTAATTTTTCATTACAAAATCCTCCTGTATCTTAAGAATGTGATGTCCACAGTCCAGCAAAGAAAAGCTAAATAACTTAGTCTATAAAAATTGACAAGACGGACTTCCCTGGTGGGCCAGTGGCTAGGACTCTGCGCTCCCAATGCAGGGGGCCCCCCGTTCAATCCCTGGTCAGGGAACTAGATCCCACATGCCACAGCTAAGACCCAGTGTAACCAAATAAATAAATAAAAACACTTTTTTTAATTGACAAGAAAAAAATGGGGGCATGAAAAACATATGTCTAGAGACCAATGTGAAAGTAATCAAAAGTTCTTTTTAGAATTTCCATATTTTTTCTGGAAGCCTTAGAAAATCTGCACTCTGAAGTCTCTATAAAATCTGATGCCGAATACTCTCCTGTAAAAAAAAAACACAACAACTCCACTCACCTGCTTCCTGATGACAATCTGGAAACAAATCCAAAGGCTAAAACCAAAGGCAAAGCCCAAGTATATGTAAAACCTGTTTATCCATAACGATATTAAAGGTGAGGAGAAGTCCCATGTATCCAAAGCGAGATCTAAATTTAAAATGATCCATATAAACAATTTTATTTATAAAGTTACACATACAATGCTGCCCATCCTTATAAGCATTATAAAAGAAAAGCCAACCTTCATATTCAAAAACCCTGCTCAGAAATCTATAAAAAGCAACTCTAATAAAACAACACATACACATTATGTGATAACATAATTACCACAATGATAAAATGCTAATTCAAAAAATAAAAATTTTTATTTTCATCTAGATATAGCATTTGAAAGGAAAGGAATATAAAGTCAAAACATTGAATTTGGAATTATGAGTTAATTTTTCTTTTTGTTAGCTGCTCCATCAGAAAAGCTTAAAATAATACTAAAAGTATTCCTTTTTTTTCTTCCTAATTTTATTCTTAGAGACCCAAAGCTACTTGCAAAGGATTCTCAAATAACTGACCTCAAGCCCCACAGTTTTTAAGGGAGATTTGGATGGACCTGGCCTCAAAAGCTGAGTCTGGGGGCAATTTAAAAAGACGAAGTCTAAAATTGGGGGTTTACAGATGCCACTCTGCCCTGGAAAGGACCAAAAGTCCTCAACACACGTGGGTAATCGGGAAAGGCAGTTTTTTCTGCGTTTTACCTGAGGGCAGAAGCACAATTCTAAATTCATCTCCTAGCCTCAAAAGGCAAAAGCCAGGTCACAAGCATGCATCAGTCCTCCCAAGCGCCCAGCGGCACCGATCCTAGCCGGAAAAGGGCAACACATTCTAGAGGAAGGGGCCCGAGGGTCTCAGAAAAATGATTTCCTCCCTTCCTGGCCCCACGAAACTTGCCCGTCTGGGGCCCTTACCCATTCTCCTCAGAGCCTGAGCCCTGCGGCCCGACAAGAGACCAGGTCTGCGGACCTAAGAAACTTAGGGTCCGGTGTGAATACTAGGAGGCCGCCAGAACTACCTCGCAGCACTAGCTGTGCGCCCGGAGACAGAGGAGCTGAAGACAGCCATGCCAGTTGCAGATCGTCCCGATTGGCTCAGAGGGGGAAGGGGCGGGCCGAGGGGGAAGCTCTGCCCAGAGTTCGGTGGGAGAAAGCCAGAGCCCTCCGGGCCCTGCTCGGATTGGCTCAGAGGATAAAGGGGCGTGCCCAAAGAAAAGCACCGCCCAGAGCTCCAGGCGAGTAAGCGGGAGGGTTCCCAGCCCCAAACAAATGACCCTGAGGAGAAAGGCCTGGGTGTTGACAAAGCGGGGATGGAGAACGAGAGTTGTTCAGTCACTCAGTCACGTCCTACTCTTTGCGACCCCATGAACTGCAGCACGCCAGGCTCCCTTCCCTTCGCTATCTCCCCGAGTTTGCTCAAACTCATCTCCGTTGAGTCGATGATACCATCCAACCATCTCATCCTCTGTCTTCCCCCTTCTGCCCTCAATCTTTCCCAGCATCAGGGTCTTTTCCAGTGAGTCGGCTGTTTGCATCAGGTGACCAAAGTACTGGAGCTTCAGCATCATCCTTCCAACTGATATATTATATCCAACTCATATATATAGTCCTTCCAACTGATATATACCAACATTCAGGATTGATTTCCTTTAGGATTGACTGGTTGGATCTCCTTGCTGTCCAAGGGACTCAAGAGTCTTCTCCAGCACCACAGTTCAAAAGCATCAGTTCTTTGGCACTCAGCCTTCTTTAAGCTCCAACTCTCAGATCCGTACGTGACTACTGGAAAAACAGGAGTAGTTTGGGGTGGAGGAAAGGTTGGAGGGGCGAGAGAAGAGGTCTGCGTTAAGAGACTAAGGGCGTCATTAACCGAATGCAACGTGTGAGCCCGTTTGAATCTCAGTTGAAACACACAGACTGTAAAAAGTCATTATTTAGCGGAAAATTAATTATGGACTGGCTAGGAGATGCTATTAAGGAATTATAGTTAATCTTGTTGGATTTATCTGTTGGAAATTTAGCTAACCTTATGACGATTTGCCTTAATATACTCCAACAAAAAAAACGAGGGAGAATGAAACAAGAATGGAAAAATGTTGATAACTGTTGAAGCGGGGTGATGGGTATATGGCAGTTCATTACACTTTTTTCTCTATGTTTTTGGTGTTAAACTTTTTCCATCATGAAAGGTTAAGATGGACTCTGAAATCGGCGGAACTGTGAGGAGTCAGGCACTGAGTTTCCACCCGGTCACCAAACTTCGGCTCCACCAACCAATCGGAGTTCTTTCGTTGGAGAAAGAACATTACGTCAAGAAAGAGCGCCTCTCTTTCCCGGCGCGGAACAATGCCGTAAAAGTCAAAATACGCAGACGTTATTGGTCCCTCTTCCTCTCCGGCTTTCCGCAACACCTGACGCCTGCGCAATAAGTTGGGTGGCTGTATTGTGGCGGCCGTGTTAGTTACGGCGCCGCGCAGTCTGCGGGCGTTACTGGGCTGCGCGCCGCCGAGTAGTTACATCTAGGTGCGGGTGGCCCTGTGGCCAGCGGCGCGGGCCTGCCTTGGTTCGCCGGCCCCAAGATCTGTGAGCGGCCAAGATGTCGATCTTCACCCCCACAAACCAGATCCGCCTGACCAATGTGGCCGTGGTACGGATGAAGCGAGCCGGGAAGCGCTTCGAAATCGCCTGCTACAAAAACAAGGTCGTGGGCTGGCGGAGCGGCGTGTGAGTGACCCTCTCCCTCTGGGCCTTGGCCGGAGCGGGTAGCCTCGGAGGCGCCCTCCCTCTGGTCGTCTAATGAACCGGCCAAACTGGGGTTTTGTCAGCGAAGAATAGGAAACTTGATTTCCTGCTGCCTGGGCTTCGCGTCTAAACCAAACGTTCCCTTTTATCATTGGTAGTTTTGGTTTGGGGCTTGGTTATACTTTGCTTTGTTGGTGTCATAAAAACTACAGCAAGAAACCTCCATAATCGGAGTCCTTTTCTCAAAATAATCATCAAGACAAAGGGCGTAGTGTTCCAGGTACTTCTGTAGTTAGTGCGTCTGTCACAGTTCTCTGCCCAGTAGTTTCACCATCACTGCTGCCATCTAGGGATCGGAATTCCTTGGCACCAGTCGGACCCCACCCCTCAGTGATTCACCCATATTCCCACGACGTTTTTCCCCTATAAGTGAAAGCGAATCCAAACGGAGTTCTGGGTTTTGAAAAATGTCACCGAGAGTCATTTAGGAGTATTTGTTGTTTCTTACATTATCATTGCCCATCTTGTCTTTTAAGTGTGAACGAACGTCCAACTTTCAAGAGTACTCACATAGAACTTTCTCTTCTATCCTCACAAGGGAAAAAGACCTTGATGAAGTGCTACAGACCCACTCAGTGTTTGTAAATGTCTCCAAAGGTCAGGTTGCAAAGAAGGAAGATCTCATCAGTGCGTTTGGAACAGATGACCAGACTGAAATCTGTAAGCAGGTGAGTTCTCAGGGCCGCAGCATCATTGACCCTGATATCCATTAGCATTAGGTATTGTGTAACAGGTATGTTAAGGTTTAATAATTTACTTTTTTTTTTTGGAGTGAACATTTACTTTGCAATAATTTGATCTGTACATCACTTTTCATAATTAAGGGCATGTATTCTTTTTATATTTATTTATTTGGCTGTGTTGGGTCTTAATTGCATCACGGGCTTAGTTGCTCAGTGGCACGGGGGATCTTTGTTCCCCCATCAAGGAACGAACCTGCATCCCCTGCATTGCAAGGCGGACTCTTAACCATTGGACCACCATGGAAGTCCCAGAACATGGATATTTTTTGCAAAAGCCTCCAGAAATCAGATTATCTGCTAAACTGCCTTTTTTGGTCCACTTACATATTTCTTTAATGTAATAAACCTGAAAAGATAATTTCTTTTCGAGTATTTCATCATTTCTACCCTCTGCTAGGATTGCCTTTACCCCTTCCCCCATCTAAATAAGTAAGATTTCAAAACAAGGTAATCCAGTGCCTCTTTTAGGCAGAGCTCAAATTGTTACCAAATATCAGTAGCTGAAGAGAATGAAATTTAATTTTCTCCCCCAGTATTTCATTCCTGTGGTTAGTTAACAAATAGTGTGGAACAAAGACATTGCTTTCTTAAACTTGTTGGCTTTGTTGTTTTGGGGTTTTTTTTTTAAGATTTTGACTAAAGGAGAGGTTCAAGTGTCGGATAAAGAACGGCACACGCAGCTGGAGCAGATGTTTAGGGACATTGCAACTATTGTGGCCGACAAATGTGTGAACCCTGAAACAAAGAGACCATACACCGTTATCCTTATTGAGAGAGCCATGAAGGACATCCACTATTCAGTCAAACCCAACAAGAGCACGAAACAGCAGGTGAGTTGTTTTATATATATATAATAATTTTATTTATTTTTATTTTTGGCTGTGCTGGGTCTTTGTTGCTGCACACGCTTTCCTCTAGTTTCAGTGCATGGGCTTCTCATTGCAGTGGCTTCTCTTGTTTCAGAGCGTGGGCTTTTGAGCACAGGCTGAATAGTTGTGGCACACAGGCTCAGTTGCTCTGCAGCATGGGATCTTCCCAGATCAGGAATCAAACCCGTCTCCTGCATTTGAATTCTTTATCACTGGGCCATCAGGGAAGCCCAAGACTTCTCGGGCTTCTTGGATACTAGTATCCAAGTATCTTGTAGTAGTATACCAAGTAGTAGTATCTTGGATACTAGTACCTAATCAAATGTATGATTTGCCCATATTTTCTCATATTCTGTGGGTTGTCTTTTCACTTTCTTGATAGTTTTTTGAATCACAAAAGTTTTAGTCTTGAAGTTCAGTTTATCTATTTTTTTCCCTGTAGTTGCAAATGTTCTTCATGTCATCTAAAAAAACCATTGCCCGGTCCAGCTAGAAGGAAACTGCTTCATTTTTAATACCTTCCTCAGTTATGCATCAGAAGAGATAAAGAAGTTGCAAACATTTTTTCATTTTGTCTTGATAGGCTTTGGAAGTGATAAAGCAGTTAAAAGAGAAAATGAAGATAGAACGCGCTCACATGAGACTTCGGTTCATCCTTCCAGTAAATGAAGGGAAGAAGCTGAAAGAAAAACTCAAGCCACTGATCAAGGTTATCGAAAGTGAAGACTACGGTCAACAGTTAGAAATTGTAAGATTAGCGTACTCTTGTTTCTTTGCTTCCTCATAACCAAAATAGTTTCTTCTGTAGTCATAAATGTGGCCCAGACATTTAGAAAGTTTAACAGTAAGACATTTCCTGAAACATCTTAACCTAGAACTAGGTAAAAAGGTAAAGATCCCCGTAGAACTAGATTGTAGTTAAGAACACTTAAGATTTCTTTGTGTTTGTTTTTTAGTTAAATGATTCCCAGTAAGCGGGTATGAGTCATGCTTGTTTTTGATGAGAGAGTGTGTTTTACAATGAATCTTCTTTCAGTCTCATTTACCACAGAACGTTTTTAAAAAGCAGCAAAAACATCATGTCTTTGGGTCCTCACCCCACAGCTTCAGATAATATGTAAATTCAGCTGTCTGCAAACCCACATCTTAGAGCTTTACAGCTTCCTGACAAATGAGCTCTAGAGCAGGATCTAATGCCTGATGATCTGAAGTGGCGCGGATGTGATAGAAATAGAGTGTACAATAAATGTACTGTGCCTGAATCATCCTGAAACCTCCCCGCCCCCATCCGTGGAAAAATTATCTTCCATGAAATTGGTCCCAGGTGCCAGAAAGGCTGGGAACTGTTCTAGAGGATTGTTGAACTTCCCACTGCAGATGTGAAACAACGAAACTCTCCAAAGTTCTAAAATATTTGCAGAACTTTGCACATGGTTTCTAAATAGGCCTTCCACCCCCTTATTTTTTTTCCCTTCAAATGTGGCTCCAGAGAGATGATTTCGTTG